GTTTCGTGTCATTCTGGTCCATGTAATTTCAATTGACTCGATTTTTTTCAAATTTATGACTTTGTCTCAATTTATTTCAATTGTTTATAATTGTTAGTATTTTTAATGAAAAATATGCACATAAGTGACATGTAATACTTTTAGAGGCAAAATTATAATTATGTTCAACTCGGTGAGTTAATCTCAACAAATTTAGTGATTATTTTCTACCAAAAACACCAACGACGTAATTAATTGGATTAACTTGATGCAAAATTTAAAATTAAAAGTTAAAATTGAATTAATTAAAAGTATAAGAACTAAAATGACACAAAAGAAAAAAACATAAAAACTGTTAAAGTAATTTACCCTTTTTAAATATATATATATATATATATATATTGCCTAAGATTTGATAATAAACTATGTAGGAAAATCGGTAACTTAAACCAAGAGAATGAAGAAAAGAGGAAAGGAAAAATTTTCCTCATGATTAGATAAACTTACAAAGGGCTCTTTCATAAAATAAAAATAAAAAATGTTGTCATTTTGTGGGTAAAAGAGATAAAAGTCTTAAAAATGAACTAGGAATAAAAAGTCTTGTACTAGGTTTCCCACTCTTTCTTCTTTCATTTTTTTTTTTTTTCTTCTCCCTGTTTTCAAACTGTTTAAAATAGTGATAGAGTAACTATTGATCACCAACTCCAAATATACCATTAACAAAACCATGCAAACTGATGAACATAGCCCATATAAGTGGTCCAGCAGCGGAATTAAGAAATTGAGTTAGAGGGGCACTACTAATTATAATTTTTTATTTAAAAAAAAATCGTGATGAACATTAAGATAATAATAATTTTATGAGTTAAATTTAAGCATAAAAAATTATATATTCATTATTAATATGAACAAATTAAAATTCTATAATAGTGTAGAATAGCACAGTGCAGGATGGTGATGTAAGTTTATAATTTTAGCACAAAAAATTATGGATCAAAATTCTTAATTTTAGAAAATAAAAACACATCGTTTATAGCACAAATTATTATAAAATCTATTTAATTTTTATTTGATAGAAAAATATTAAAGAGATAACATTGCTTATAAATGATGTATTTTGAATGAAAATTATTAAATAGTCTTCGAATACCATATAGCATTGCCTACGTGATGCTTAAAGCATAAGAAATCACAAATTATGCTAAACAGTCTATTAACTGCTTGAAAATAATGAGTTCATTATATCCAATTTAAAAGATTTTTCGCTATACTATTGGTTTAAACTATTACATAAATAATATCACATAGTGCTATCAAAGTATCAAATAACTACTTATTGTGAATAATACAATAAACCCTTAACATGTTTTATGTTAAGGAAAAAAAAAGTACATTTTGTATATGACAACAAGACACACACACACACACACAAAATCTCAAAACTATAGGAGGGCACGTGACCCCCTCGTCCTTCTTTCCCTCCGTCATTGGGTGGTCCAATAGGCTGTCCAAATAATTCTTAACCTAACTTAGGCCTAGGAGTCAGACAAAAGAAGAGACAAGCCGCCCTCTTTTCTTGCGTGATTTTTGTGACATGACGACACTGTCATGGCCGGTTATAAATGGCCACAGACTTACGGCTGGTAGGACGGCGTGAAAAAACAAAGACAGGGGAGCAATCATGAAGGGGGCACATTAAGTCAAGAGGCCAACAAAGATATGAAAGATATCAATACGTACATACTCTCTTTAATTACTTCTTGACTCTTTTTTTCCAATCTAACTTAACTATCGGAGGGTCCTCAGGAAAGAACCCCACCCTCTGGGTCCTTCTTACCGGACTTGGTGTAGGTATTACTGGAAAGACGAAATTCAAACAATTTGTGGAGCATACGAATCTTGTCTGACCCATCACACGTCCGACCAAACTGCTTTATCACAAACAACTTCATGGTTTTAAACATTTATTATTATTAGATTAAGGTTATATACATAGTATATGTGGGGTATATTTTTTGGATTGTCCACGTAGTCAAAGTTGTTAGTAACTTAAACCAAGAGAATGAGGAAAAGAAGAAAGAAAATTTTTGTCTTTACTCATGATTAGATAAACTTACAAAGGACTTTTTTATAAAATAAAAATAAAAAATGTTGTCATTTTGTGGGTAAAAGAGGTAAAAGTCTTAAAAATGAACTAGGAATAAAAAGTCTTGGATTGGGTTTCCCACTCTTTCTTCTTTCCTTTTTTTTTCTTCCTTTTTTCAAACTGTTTAAAATAGTGATAGAATAAAATATTGACCACCGACTCCAAATAGACCATTAAAAAACCATGCAAACTTATGGATATAGCCCATATAGGTGGTCCAATAGGCGATCTAAATAATTCTTAACCCAACATAGGCTCAGGAGCCAAACAAAAAGAAGAGACAAGTCACTCCCTTTTCTTTCATGATTTTTGTGACATGATGACGCTGTCATGGCCGGCTACAGATAGCCATAGACTTACAGCTGGTAAGACGGCACGAAAAACAAAGACATGAGAGCAATCATGAGGAGGGCACGGTAAGCCAAGAGGCTAACAAAGACATGAAAAATATCAATACACACATACATACTCTCTCTAATTGCTTCTTGACTCTTTTTTTCCAATCTACCTTAACCATTGGAGGGTCCTCAGGAAGGAACCCCAACCCCTGGGTCCTTCTTACCGAACTTGGTGCAAATGTTGTTGGGAAGACGAAGTTCGGTCAATTCATAAAGCATCTGGATCTTGTCTGACCCATCTCACGTTTGACCAAACTGCTTCATCACAAACAACTTTATGGTTGTAAACATTTATTATTGCTAGATTAAGGTTATATACATAGTATATATGAGGTATATTTTTTGGATTATCCACGTGGTCGAAATTATTAGTCGAGGTGTCACGTGGATAGACCAAGTCATCAAGATATGATATGATCATATCTGAATATGAGATATTCGGATAAAAGATAAGAATCCTAAATGATTTCAGGCTCTCTGTTTGGATAGAAATGAGACTCTTAAGATAGTCCATTCTAATTCGGATTAGAGGAGTCCGAGATTGGTGTGATCCTTATAACGGATAGAATCTCATGAAGTGAGACTTCTAGAGGACGATGGCACTGTTGATTATAAAAAAAATGAGGCACCCTGTGGGTCTAAGGTACGTTTTAATTGAGAGTTGTTTTACTTGTGCCGATGTCTCACTACAAAAAAAAAAAAAAAATTAAGGTTTTAGAAACCAAAATTTAGAGGCAAAATTATTTTTTAGGAACCAAATATTTTTGTTCCGAAAAATGTCTTCATTATATTTTTAGTAACGAAAATTGGATATTAGTGATGAATTATTATTCTTTTGGGACCAAATTTTTTGTCTCAAAAAATAAATCATTTTGATACCAAATTATTTTATCCTTGAAAGTTAGTGATATTTTTTAAATTTTGTTGCTAAAAGCATTTTTTGACTTTTCGAGATGATCTTTTAACGACTATCCTCAAGACAACATAAATTGATCCCTAAATGTCATTTGCAATAAAAGTTTCAGTTTTAGAGACTAAAAATTTTCGTCTCTAAAACTCTTATATGCTGTAGTGTCTTGTAAGATTGTTGACTGACTTGATTGTCGGAGTGCCCCCTAGTGGACGAGCCACCGTGATATTTCTTATCCTCTTGTGTGCAGGTGTTAAGCTTAATCTATTTCTCCGTGTGCTCTTCAGCTAAATTCCTAAGATTTCGGCGAAGAGATTTAGACTGGTTGTGAAGTCAAAAATCAACACTCAGGGTATATGCCTATACTTATTAGTTATTATCCATTGAACATAGCGAAATCGTGGGTGCAACTTGAAACCTAAGGGTGTACTCTCTCTAAGTCTTAGATTCAACTCTCATTATGAGCAATTTGTTCCTTGGAGTCACGTCCGCGGATTCTGCCCGAGATTTGCCTAATCCATGTGGAAGGAGCACTTTGCATGAATTTCGAAATTAGTCGAGATACGCATAAATTGATCCAGACACGCAATTATCAAAAAAAAAATACATTGTCCTTAGTTTGCTGCCACAGGAATTGTGGTGTAAATTTCTTAGTTTAGTTTTCAAAATTTTGTTTTAGGCTTCCTAAATCTTGTAATTTTTTTCCGGTGTTTAGTTAATTTTCTTTCTTCACGTTTTAGTCATTTTTTTATTCTACTTTTTGAATAGATCTGATATAAATATAGATACACATAAAAAAATAAATATATGTGAACAGATCTAGAAAAAAAAAAAAAAAAAAAAGTACACACGTTGATCCACTTCTTACGGATAAAAGGCAAACCAGAGAAAATTTGGTGTACCTCTCCGTCCAAATTGACTGAACTAAGAATAGTAATAAAAGTGGTAGCCAAATAATTTAAAATATGGTCTTCTAAATTGACCCAGCTAAGAATAGCAATAGAAGCAGTAGCCAAATAATTTAAATTATGGTCTTGCTTGAAACAAAAACCAACCATCCAAGCAACCAATCTTTAAAAAGAAACCGAATTAATATAATAGAAAGGAGCCAAACCACACTAAGTGGGACAAGCAGCGTTGTCCCCTCATGTTCTTGACAAAGAGAGGGGAGAGGTGATAGATATTATGCATGCTTGTAGCCAATATACTAAAAGCAAGTAAAATATGGAAAAAGATATGTACTATGAAAAAGTGTAAAAAAAAAATTTTGAAAATGAAATGTGTTGCGTGGGTGGGATATTAATGTAATCTACACAAACTAAAATCTGAGTTTTTTTTTTTTTTGTTTTTTTCTGCGGCATTGCTGGTAAAAGTAGCCCTAATGCATTTTCAAACTTAAATTTTTTACAGAAACTAAACCCCAGATGAGAATCCAAATGTAAGGCTCATATCTATAATCCCTCAAGTAAGAAACAACAATGGTTGATAGATAAATGTGAAACACAATTTTTTTTGGTAAGTACGTAAAAGTTTATTACCAAAAGAAAAGATATGAAAGAGGCTTACGCTGTATTTGGATCAAAATTTTGAGTAAAAATTTCCAAACATAAAACTAAATTTCTACTCAAAGTCATAATACAAATACAGCCTAAATAACTACCCGAAAGGGCAAAAGGCCACAAAATATAATTTTAGCTGGAAACAGAAACTCTCACAACCCAAGAGCCTAGGAAACAATTGAAAACTACACAATACAATACTTCTAGGAAGTTCGCAAACCCCGGAGGTTAAGAACTCATCCACAGTACTATTAATAGTAACCCAAAATGGGACAGAAAAGGAAACCCTAATGTCGGATATAGAAGAAAAGGATCACAATTATAGCCTTTTTAGTCATAGATCATCTACAGAACCGTGCTTTGTTCCAAGGGAGATAGAGTTCCCGGACTCAGAAGAGGGAATGAACACCATGGATGAGAATTCGGCGACGAACCGAACCCCAGAGGACTCACCACCGCAAAGCTATCTGATATGTTCCATGGCTGCGTGTCGAGTGTTTCAGACATTAACTCGCGATAAAACGAAGACAATGGTGTCATAGTTGCAGTAATATTATTAGGAGAAGGAAAAAGCTCCAAGGTTGCTCCCTTATTACCAATATTATTATTATCAGATGATACTGCTGCTGCTGCTGCTGCTGGTGTTGGTGTAGAGAGGCTGAGTGGTGGCGGTGCAACGCTCTGGAGCCGCCGTGGTTGGAACTCCGGTGCCGCTGTGAGCTTCTGAACTACTTGCTTGAAGTCTACATGGTCAACCTTGTAGACTCTAGGCGGTATCGGTGGCAGCGGCGCAATGGGCTTCTTCCACGGCTTTGCCGGAAGCTTCCGGACCGAATGGAGTGAGGAATGGTAAGAGGGGGGTGGTGGTGGTGGTGGTGATGGTTTGGAATTCTTACCTTGTGGACATGAACAATGGTGGTAAGTGGTGGAGGATGAAGAGTAGTTGTAGGATTGTGATTCCATATCTCAAATATTATTGTATGTGATGAGAGAGAAAGAAAGAGAGAAAGAAGAGTGTGTGTATGAAAATGTATTTGGAGTGTTTGTATATATAGATATAGTTGTAAGGAATAGGAGAGATGAATGAATGGTGTTCTTGATGGAATGGAGGCAACGACTAAAGGAGGGAAGTAACAGAAATTCAAATATTAGTTTGTCGTTAGCCGTCGGCTATGAAGGGTGATGACGTTTGCATAAAAAACGGTCAAATGCTGAATATTTGACCATTTGGGTTTTGGTTTTATATTATACACTCTTATTAGAGTTGTTGATTTTATATGCCCAGTCATGTGTTCACTGCAAAATAATATTGAGTAATGCTAGCTGGCATGTGGTTTTCTCTTAATTAATTAATTCTTAAATAAATCATCAACATAATTAATTAATTCTTAAATAAATCATCAACCGACATAGTATAGTCTTAGAGATAAATTTAAGATTTTTTAAAAAAATTTAACAAAAAAGATGTAATAATGGTAGGGGACCACATTTTATGATACTAAAAGAAAAAAAAAATTACATTTGTTGTGTGAAATTTAGGCTTGGTTTGGCATCTATTATATAATCTATCTTTTTATCTTTTTATCTTTTTTTCATCACATCACCTCTCTACTGTTCTGCACATGTTTTCGTAAAAAGACAAAAAGTATACTTTTTTAGGACACCCCAAACTAACCCTTACTAAATTATACAGTTAAAAAAAATTTAGATTCATTTTCTAAATTTAATTATGTAAGTAATATGATTTGTTAATGATTAGAAAAAAAATATATGAAAAAGAATGTTGCATTTGATATCATAATTGATTATCATACCATTAAATTTGAAAAGGAAATATAACTTTTATACTTAAATAACAATGCTCAATTAGTTATAGTTGTGTAAGACAAAACATTGAATAATATTCAAATGTGATTAACCTATGTAGTAGTGGTTCAAAAAACAAAAAAAAAAAAAACCTATGTAGTAGGACTCATATATATAGACGCACTAATAATGTTAGAATAATTATTTTTGTTTTATCATATTTTATTGGCTAAGGATTCCTTTTCTAGTAATATTCATAATTCTTAGATTGTGTAAAAAAAATTGAGACACCATCCAATGAATTATGAATGTTTTAAGGAAGAATGACAAAAAAATTTAATACAAAAGATTTCGTATTTATTTTGTTTACTATCTAATAAAATATAATGATATGCTTAAACAAAAAAATTTATACAAAATGATATGAGTTGTTGCAATTCTTTCATTGATATGTCATTTTAAATGTATTTTTTGTCTTAATTATTTTATTTATAAAATATTTCCCCCACAAAATATAAGAAATATATAAATATAAACATAGAAAAAAGGGTACAGGTTTTATCCGGTGGGGGAGGTAGCTAGCCGCCGCACGCACCCACCTCTCCTCTCCTCTGCTCTCCTCACCTCTTCTCTCTCCTGTCGCCAAAATTCTATTCTAATGTAGACCCCCTTTTTTTATTATTATTAATGTTAGAGGGAAGACTATGATATATAAGAATGTGTATCTTATATATTTTATAATTAAAAATAAAAATGGTATAATTATATATTTTTTGACTTATTTTGGAAATATAGTTAAAAAGTAGCTTTTTAGTTTTTTTTTTTTGTATATTTTTTTTAAAAATATATATAATCTACCTCTGAAAACAAGCTAAGTCATAACTAAAAAAAAAAATTATAACCAAACAACACATATAAAGGTTATAACTAAATAAGAAAATTAATCATAAATAAAGAAAAAAATATCATAACTTAAGGGTGTATATGGTGGGAGTATATATATTAAAATTTCCCTAATGTTTATTATATTCTAGAGTAATACTATAAACTCACTTTTATCTATCCCAAATTTATTTAGAATTATTATCTTGTAGTTCAGATTTAGGCCTAGTTTGGGAAGACTAAATAAGTGCACTTTTTGACTTTTTATGAAATATGGGTTGGGTTTGGATTGGGTTTGAAGTGATATTAAAATTTCCCTAATGTTTATTATATTCTAGAGTAATACTATAAACTCACTTTTATCTATCCCAAATTTATTTAGAATTATTATCTTATAGTTCAGATTTATTGTACACATAAACCTTACACTACATAAATTCAATTACAACCACACAATCTCATTTGGGATAAATTCAAAAAGCCTCTTTTGACAACTAGGTTAAAAGTCAACTTATTGAATTTTCAGTTTTTTTGAATTACATCATTTATTTATTTTTGAGAAATGCTTTAGACCACTAATTAGTGGTGGCTCTAATGATGTGGCAGTGGGTCCCACCCACTGTCACAAATTTTTTTTTTTTCACCTCACTAGTGGTGAGATTAGTGATGACAAATTAGTGGTCTATAGCATTACTCTTTATTTTTTTGTATATTTTTTCTTAAAAAATATAAAAAAATTCACTTTTAACTTATTTTTTAAAATAGGCTAAAATAAATAAGGATGATTACATAGAATTATTCAATATTTTATGATATTCTGTCCCTCGTAATTCTGAAAAATGTAAATCTGTGAGCAAAGATAGCGATCGGTAAGCCTTATTTTGGTCCGGTCCACAGACAGATCATAATACCGCAGCATTATTTGTATACGGAGGATATGCATAATATTAAGAATAATGTTAGGTATCATCAAAGAAGTATCATGAAAAATTTTTATGAAAATTTTTTACTCTTGAATTAATTTATAACAATGTTATGTATCATAAAAAGTCTTTCATGAAAATGATTATAAAAGATTTGTGACCTTTGAATTACATTTAGAATAAAATACTACACATTAATCAAGGTAATCTAAGGATCACAAATCTTTCATGATTATTTTCATGTAAAAATTTTTATAATCTCTAATATTTTTCATTAATTTATAATATTTATAATGTTTTATTATATGTTATGTAATTATTCTTAAATTAATTTCATAAAATTTTCATGATATTTATAGTATTATACTAATATTAATAACTATGTACTACGTAAAATCATCCTTGATATTAGCCGCGCGAGCCGTCTTTTCGCTGTTCATAGTTAAATATTGGCTGGCTGTTTTTTTCTCGATCATCACAAATCCAACACCGACTTCCCCAGTCTGTGATGTGAGTGTCCTCATCTATAAAAATCCTTGACTTTCTTCAATTTGATTGAAGAATTATTTGTTGTTGACCACTTGAAAAAAATCTCATTGTTTTGGTGACCAAGGTCTTCAATCTTTGAGTTGGGTTATATATGTATGCACTGTGCCCTTTCAATTATTACGTGTATAGAAAAAATTATTGAAATATAATTAGAACAATTAATATATTGTGAGAATATATTTTTTGAGTACCAATACGTGATCAAGGTGACGCCGACGTGTCAGTCAGGGTGCCACGTGTCCAAGTCGTGATGCTGAGAATATCTCGACTAGACCGAGGTTATCTCCGAAGATATCGGAATCCGAAATAAGCGGATAAGAAACAAGAGTCCTACAATGAGGAAGGACTCAGCCAGGATAAGGATAAAACTCTTAAGGAGTTTATCTTTATATATTGGAGAGTCCATTGAGTTGAAGTCCATTGAAACTAGGCTTCTAATGGGATTAGGATTAAGTAAGCTATAAAAGAGAGGCAACCCCAATGGGTCTAAGGGACGCAATTTATATTCTGAATAGTGAGTTAAGTATTTTTGCTATCATTGAGTGATAACTGACTTGATCATCGGAGTGCCCTCGGATGGACGAACCACCGCCGGAATCTCTTCTTTCTGTTGCAGGTCATTCGGGCTTAATCTATTCTGCTGGTGCTCTTCAGCTAAGTACTAATTTGGCAGTGTGGTCGGAAATTGGCACACACAATTTGGCGCCATTTGTGGGAACGAAAGGAGAATACATGGCCAACAACGGACAGAAAGAGAAGTTTGGGGATGACACTCCTATTGGGAGTGGAAACCTGTTAACCTTGACGTCGAAGAAGACAACTGCAACAAAGAGACTCGTGATCAGAATCACGGAGGAAAGGACGTCGGCCAGGAAGATGACGTACCAAAGAAAACAGACCAAAGCGAGTATTACAACGAGGACGACCTTCAGGTATGGAAGGATAGATGCCTACGGAAAGACGTTGAAATGAAGGGGATGGCAAACAAATTAGCAGACTTGCAATCGGTCGTCAATTTCATGATGCAAAACAACGTCATGCGGCCACCATTCCCGTTGCAGGGCACGCCGATTCTAGCGACCAATGCCTAGAAGGAAGGGCAAAAAATAATCCCTGTAGCCCCCCAACACACCAGGAACGAAAAACACTCTCACCGGCCTTCAAGGGAGGTCGGGCGAGGAGAGTCAAGAAGGGAAGAATCTCGAAGGACACGTCGCACCAAGGAAGGAGACCCCAAGGAACATCGGCATGTTCAAAGGCAGGAGTTGTGCTTCGACGCAACTAATGAAGAAAGGTCAAAGAGGGCTCACAACGAAGTTGAGAGTAGTGCACCTAAAAGGCTGAAGTCAGGAGATAGCCGAGTTGCTAGTCGCACCAAGAAGGACCTAAGGGATTACCTACAGAGAAGGCAACAAGATGCCGAGGTAACCTCCCCGGTCAAGCCGAGAACACCATTCTCGGTAGAATTAGACAAATTCGAAGCCCTGAAGAGGTTTAGCATATCGAGATTCCAGATCTACAACGGGAAGTCGGACCCCAACTTTCACGTCGGTTTGTACCTAAACTCGATGGCGTTATACACCGGGAACGAACCGTTGCTTTGCAAGGTGTTCTCCTTATCCTTCGGAAAAATTGCATTAGACTGGTTTCACAAGTTGTCGAAAGGAACTGTGAAAACCTGGGAAAGCCTAGCCGAAATGTTTGTGGCCAGGTTTGTGACAAACAAACTACAGCCGTTAAGGGTAGACGCCCTGATGGCTCTGAAAATTGGCAAGGACGAAAGCCTGAGAACCTATGCCAAAAGGTATTATGAGGTATTCAACTGAATACCCGAGTGC